GCATGTGTGTGAGTGTGTGACGGGCAAATAAAACCCCAGAGAAGTCTAGGGGACGTTCATCGTGACCTTTCGTTTAGCCAGGGTCCATCTCGCTCTGCGCATCTGACAACAACTTTCAAAAGAACCTTACTTCCTGAGCCATTGACAGGTGTGTGTGTGTGTGTGTGTGTGTGTGTGTGTGTGTGTGTGTGTGTGTGTGTGTGTGTGTGTGTGTGTGTGTGTGGTGTAAGTATTTATACACTACTGCAGGAATTGTTTACTTGCTGCTGTTACAAAAAAACTTCCCAAATTGGGATCAATAAAGTATATCTTATCTTATTAATCGCCTGACCTTGGGTATAGTCTGATGTTAGGTAGTAGAGATTCCTCTTTTACAGATAGATATTCATGAGTGGAAAATAAAGAGCAGATGCTGCAACAGTTGGCATTAAAGTGTGTGTCAAGTGCACAATAAGCCTCTTACAAGCTGGAATTAAAAACTTCACAATATAGAAATAGACAACAAGGTTATTCTAGGGTTGGATTAGCACTATGGAATTGGATCATGAAAAATAAGCTCAACACAATCACAGTGTACACCTCTTCAATGTAACCACTGAGTGGACTGAGTTCAATAATGATCAGGGGTCCCTTACCCTTTTCTTGACTGTAAAACAATCCAGTTTTAACCGTAATATTCCCTGTCATGTGACACAGTGGGATGTCCACTAAAGGAACGTTTGAATTCTTCTTATGGCCAAATCTGTTTTTAAATGCTAGTGTATTTATTGACACGTCTAGTTTCTGGGCTATATATTCAGCATATACATCTATGTTTTCGTGCATGTGTCTGTACACAATTCCTTCAGTGTATTTGTTTGTGTGTTTACCTTTTTCATACGTGCGTTTGTGGTCAGGAGGTGAGGGTCGAACAACATGCCACCAAACAGCTTTAAAAGAAGAAAATCCAACAACATAAACAAAAACCACCGCGGTCAGTGTGACACGCGTCACCTTCGCTGTGACAGGGGACGACACCGGAGAGCCTCAGAGTCCCCCAGAATCCCTTTGAAGTCGGCCAGATATTGTGCCGCTGCTCTGGAAGTATTGTCTTTCCTGCCCTTGGGCGTTGCTGCATGGCAGATGCACTCGGCTTTTAGTGCAACACTTGCCAGGATTAGGCCTATTAGCTGAACAGGGAAAGACAACCATCGCAGGTTTAGTGGAATCCGCTCTGAATGTGGGAATCTTGGATTGTTACTACATTTTGCAGCAGGCATGATTAAACCTGAATCCTGCCTGTCTTTTCCAACACGTTCCCTGCCTAATCATGACCTGATTCCTCACTAAACGTCTCTTTTTCTCCGTCTTTCCCGGCCCCTCAGTCATTACTGCTGCTGTGTTTGTGTTTCTGCTCCAGGCGTTGGGTAAATACCTCTGCTGGAGTAGATTTTTCCCCTCCACCTTCCTCCCTCCATTACCTCCTCTAATGACGTTTACACATCTGCTTAGAAGAGCTTCCACTCATCTCTCCGTCCCCCTGTGTCCGTCTTTCTCTCCCTCTCTTTGTCACACACTGAGACGGTGAGATTATTACATTCTCCATTATTCGGCTGCTGAATTGATATCCTACTTTCAATGAACTAGTACAAATCAGATTATGTTCACGCTCCCTCACTCAGTTAACAACAATTAAAACTATTTTCTCATTTAAATAAATATATTCACACATTTATGAAAGAAGACAGATGTGAAGAGATACTGTCATTTCAAAGACCTGCTTTATTGCGACCACCATTATGGATATGATCTTACTTTTAAGAAGGTAAATAAGTCCTTAGCTTTAAGAAATGAAGACCTTCACCAACAGGAAATTCATATGTAAATATTTGGACAATTGATTTATCATTTTATTCATTTTACAAGCAGAACACGTTTTGAGAATTTGAGCAATTGATGTTTCAATGATAGTAAACTGAATCTTTTGTTGTTATGAACTGTAGGATGGATACATAAGAAAGTTTAAGACGCCATATTGGCATTCAACCAACCATTTTCATGTGCAGCTTTTACTATTTTCTAACAATTGAAATACATCACAATGAACACTTAAATTGAGAACATTTGAATCCAAATAGAAAATATTATTCAATTTCTGCCCTATAGAGTTTTTCAGAATCCTTTCATGGACTGATCATTTTTGTAAGTTTTTCAATTGAGGGTTTTTAAGTGTTCATTATGGGGCAAAGGTCTCTTTTGGTCTATTGCTTCTGGACACGTGAACTTTTCAACCCCTCACCTGCACATGCCCTCCAAACCTAGACATTTGCGTGCTCCAGTACACACACACACACACACACACACACACACACACACACACACACACACACACACACACACACACACACACACTTCCACACGCACTCATCACTCGCTAAAGAGTCATGTCACTTGAGCTCCATTTTCCTGCTGATGGACATGTAAAACACACACACACACACACACACACACACACACACACACACACACACACACACACACACACACACACACACACACACACACACACACACACACACACACACACACACACACACGCAAACAGAGTGACTGTACCTGTCACCTCTGTTGAATACCTCATTTTGTTCCTCATGTCAATCACCTCTATTCTTCTTTTGCCGACAGCTGAATAGGCTCCTGTGGGACTCTGTAAAGTGTCTATATGTGTGTGCGTGTGTTAGTGTTTGTGTGTGTGTGTGTGTGTGTGTTGATGTAAGTGTGTGAAAGAAAGCCTGCTGCCTGGCGCCACGTTGCCCAGCCTCCACTGTCCCGCACCAAACTCCTTGTCTTGTAATGGGACAGTTGATAAAGTACTGCTGTAGTGTGTGTGTGTGTGTGTGTGTGTGTGTGTGTGTGTGTGTGTGTGTGTGTGTGTGTGTGTGTGTGTGTGTGTGTGTGTGTGTGTGTGTGTGTGTGTGTGTGTGTGTGTGTGTGTGTGTGTGTGTGTGTGTGTGTGTGTGTGTGTGCGCGCTTTGCCGGCAGGCCTCAAAGCACTTACTAACTCTGAAGAAAATAGTTTTCGGTCTGTCCGCTCTTCTTCTCTTCTCAGCGTGTCGAGTTCAGTACCGCCTTAGGTCCTTGACAGAATCACTGGAGTAGAGTGACTGAGAGACAGACAGACTGTGGGGAAGAGAGGGGGAGAAGAGGACAGGTTGACAAGAACATGACTAAGCCCCACGAGTTAGGCGTAGACTTTCCAATGTTTATTACCCCACAGTGCACCACAGAACAATGTGTGTACTTTTTTCCCTTTTTGGTGAAATGATTGACCAATCAGAGCTCAGCAGGTCAGATTTAAAGGGAAACGTCATCTTCCTACAGTCATTTGTAAAAAGTAATCACTGAAAAAAGGTTGCAAGCATATCATTTGGACAAATCCAAAATGCACATTTTCCTTGTTGTATTTGTATATCCAGTGGATATAGAATAGTACAGTTTGTTATACGGAGTTGTTTTTGTATCGTGCTTTCATTATAGGAATTTCTAAAGTGTCAATAAAAGACTCATCAACAGGAACTGATTCGACATACTTCTAATATTGCCTTTTTGCTATAATGTAAACAAATACAGGCTAACATCCAGTGCAACATTGTACTTCCTGTTTACATCCCCAAAGCATTATTGGAACTGTAGTTTCCTGCAACTAGACCATGAGTATCCATCAAACACATTCGAGGCACATTATAATATTAAAGGAGTCAAGAAATATATGTTGCACTTTCCATATTTTGTGACAAGGTTTAAACTAATTGCACGAGTGAAGAACACTTGTTATGTTTGCAGTACGATCAGTATAAGGTTATTGTAATAAGTCTCTTCTCTTCAGACATGCCTTTAATCTGTCCTCTCAGTGGTCACATCCCTCCTGTTATATCCATTAGACTCCTTTCAGGGATTTGACGCTTTGTTTTATCCGGGTTTTCCCTCCTCATTATCTCACTCCCTCTTCAGAGGCATGCTGTTTTCAGAGTTTGTCCACCTTTCTTTGCTCTGATATGACACTGGAAGCTGGAGGACTTCTCCCTCAAGGATACACTGAAGATAAGAGTGTGTGTGAGTGTGTGTGTGTGTGCACCGTTTCATATGTATGTAAATGTGTGCATGTGTACATTTCCTCAGGTATCACACGGTTCAAAGATAGGAGAGTTCTGTATGTGCCTCTCCATGCATACGTTTGTGACTGTGACTCACATATCAGAAGTTTTAAAGATTGGACTTCAGTGCCTGAGTGTGTTTACTGAATACCTGAGTGTATGTGTTTATGCAGTCAAACTGAGACTTGGCAGCAGCTCCTCGGCACCTCAGATTGGAAAATATGTCACAATTACACACTCTACCTATCTCTCTCTCTATATAGATATTTTCTGGTTGCTTTGTATGTTCTCCATGTTTGCCAAGTTTCTCTCCGAGAGCCAAAACTAGACCAGGCAGTAGCTGAGAGAGTGTCTGCAAGAGATAAAGGGGGTGGGGGGGGAAAATGTATTAGAGATGAAACAATAAAGAGTAGAGTAAAAACTGCAAGACAGAAAGCGAAAATCAGACATTCTGAAATAATGTCTTTTAAAAAAGACGAGACAAAGAATAAGGAGAGTAAAAATTGGTGGAAAGAGAGCGAACGCTTGCAGTCGGGGTCAGGAAGCTTAATGCATTTCTAATAGGAGGAACCTCAGGAAAACATGGGGGACAAGAAAGAAGTGAGAAAAAGATAACAAGCACGGGACAAGAAGGCAGAGGGATGATAAGTGAAGGTGTCTGAGGAAAAGGAAAAGACAGAAAAGGAAAACGGAAGTTAAAACTGACAAATCTACAGCCAGAAGTGTGTGTGTGTGTGTGTGTGTGTGTGTGTGTGTGTGTGTGTGTGTGTGAAAAAAAGAGAGTGCATACCTGTGGGAGGATTCGTGAGATGTCAAACTAAATGTCTGTGAACCTGCCTTCATTTCAGCCTTCTCTCTCTCTCTCTCTCTCTCTCTCTGTCTTGTTTCAGTGGAGCTCCAGATCTGCACCATGGTCGTTCAGACCCTCGGGTGATGGCCAAACTTGAACTCATTTATTAAGGACCTCACATCTGTAGCAACGTAAGCTACATTACTGTAAGTACCCAACAGTTATCCACCAACCACTGGTTAATGATGCTTGAAATCTCTCTTTGGCACACAAGTGTGTATTTGGTTTTTTCTTATGATTTCTAACTTCTGATTTTATTTTGTCCTGATAATGCTGTTTTCCAAAAAAGACTAATATAACGTCGGAGGAGACATGATTTCCGCCTCCCGTTTAATAGGTCAAATTTGTTGCAAACAGTGATGCTGGATGGATGCTGATGGTGTTTTTATACTATATATTGCAAAAAGGTCAGACATTTCATTCCTCCACCAGGGAGAGGATGTGGAAAGGTCATCAGTGAGATTCAAACTAAGAACTGTCTTCACTGTTCTGTCCATGTTTACACTATATTCTGTTAGCCTTTATAACTGTCTGTTGAAGTTGTGGGTGCTGAGAGCGGCAGGGCTGCAAGCCAGATATCAAAGAAAGACTTCCATTGTTTCTCTTTCACTCTGAAGGAACCAGTCCAACATTCATATTTACTATAAGTTCTTTCGCTGGCACACAAACAGGCTCACACGCCTATCCAAGCACACACATACAAAGCGACTTTCTTGTTTCTCTTTACACACAACACACACACACACACACACACACACACACACACACACACACACACACACACACACACACACACACACACACACACACACACACACACACACACACACACACACACACACACACACACACACACACACACACACACTCTCTCTCTCTCTCTCTGACACTCGGAGGGCAGAGTGAAAGAAGAGCATAGAGAGAAGCAGAGAGCAGACAAGGTCGTAGTTCCTGTTGACTGTCTTTGAAAGAGGAGTCGTATGTTTTACCTCCTCTCCTTTGATGTTAAAGCAGCCTCTTTACTAGAGTAAAGACAGCATACAATAACCTAGACCCCCCCTCACCCCTCACACAGAGCTCTGTACACCCCCACAAAGCTCTGCGGGGGAACAGGTAACCCACAGCAACCTCAGCCAGAAATCAGAATGAGTGTGGCAGCTGTCCAGGACCTGTGTGTGTGTACATGTGTGTGCGTGCATGGATTGTGTGTGCATGTCATTTTTTGATGGTACTCACTATACCTGTCTTGTAGCTTTCAGCAAAATGTTTTTATAACACCTGATGCCAAAGTAAATATTGCTAAATCACAGGTGATCCTATTCACAGCAATATGTATGTGATTTAAAATACTGCTCATTTGTAAGTAGCAGTGATAAGTATTGTATATACTACTGTACTCCAATGGAAGTTGTCATGGAACAAATCCCTTCATGTTATTTGGGAACTCTTAGTAAACTCAGTCTAAGTGGATAGTAAAGTGTGCAAAATTGCAATTGTGAACATGAACAGCAAGATGTTGGTTCATCGGCATTCTTTAAAAACTTGTCGTTTACTGTATGAACGGCGCATCTGGTCTTGCAAGTTAAATACAGCAGGATCTGACTGAGGAGTGTGTGTGTGGCTGTTTCTAACCCTTGTGTGTTCGTTAGGTAAAGGAAAGGTCGACTTTAATTCGTAGAGCAAATTTCGCTCAAAGTTAACTTGATATGTGCTAGATTCAACATACAGAGTAATTTACATAAGATTATAATAAGTAAACAAAGAAAAGAGAAATAAATGTGTTAGAAAAAACATAAACAAAAACATTCGACACAGCCCCTCCACAGACTCAAACAGAAAGACACACAAATACAGTGACCAAATGTAAGAGAAAAGGCTCTGACACCCCCCCGGTCATCAGGTAGTTTGTTCCAGAGATCAGCACCAAAATAAAAGTTTCACCATCTGCTTTTTATTCTGGGAACGGTTCAAAAAAGGTCTTATTATAGGTCTGATTGGATTGTTGTGAGTGAGCATGTCAGAAATAAACTGGTAGCCAATGAATGCATTCATGAAGTTAATGCTGGAGCGATACATGTTTGCGTGGCTTTGCATGCACACAGACTAGAGTGGGAAGTCATTAAAGAAATATGCTGATGTGTTGGGTGGGACAGCATAGATAGAAGATCAACAGAAATGGACTGATCTTAAATCACCATTTAGCTTCATTCAATTAAAAAACACCTCAACCTGAACAAACCCTCTCTTTGTTGATGTCTCACCTTCTCTCTCTGTTTCCTGAGCTGACACTCATGTGGCCACAAGGCTCATGGACACACACATCATTCCTGTCCACCACACACTCACCTATTTACTCCTATTTTTCTGTATCAATGTCAGCCCCCCTTGTTTCTTTTATTTTGCCGTAAATTCCCTAAGACCCCGACAGCAGAACAAGGTCTCAAGAACTTATAGGTTAGCCAGACGGGCAATAACTAAAGGAAAGCTGCCTGAAATGAGGTTCTACCTCCAAAAGGGCTGACTGGTTATGAGAGGATAAAAGAATCCTCTTATGTCGGTAAACTCATTACGCCGCCGCTGCCAAGCCGTGCTAGCCCCAGCGTTTCCATGGCAGCCGGTGTTATCTGTGTGTATTTTTGTTGGGACTTGTAGTTTTGGGGTTTGAGTGTCAAAATGAGATTTCTTCTTTTTTTTTCACACCATGAGGTGCAGAGGGGAGAGATAAGAGAGAGTCCCCTCTCAGCGTTAACGAGAGAAAGTAAGAGAGAGAGAGAGCATTAGCTGCACAGATAGAGAAATGAATGGTCCACACAGCAGTACTGCTCCACCTTTAGCTGCACTTTACAGACAGTCTGTGCATCTGTGTCCTTCCCATGTAGCATGTGGTTAACTTAGTGGCATTTTGTAAAGATCTACCGCTACATAACAATAAGATAAGATAAGATAAGACTTTATTTATCCCGAAGGAAATGGTTGTGCCAGAGTAACAAAATAGAATAAAAACAATAAACACAGCAGCACAACAGCAAAACTGTACACTAAAAGTGCAGCAAAAAGAGCAATTAAACATCTACAGACAACATGAAACATAGAAACATAGATGGTCACACAATCAATGCAATTATTAGCAGTAGTTAGTAGTGCAAAAAAAATAAAACGTAGTGGCAGTTACGTAATTGCACGTTATCATAGCATTATTAATAATACTAATAATAATATTGGTCCTTAAAGTTCTAAAATGTACTAAAAGCCGAATCTAGATTTATTTTCTGTCTCCATTCATTCTACTGAGCCGAGAGTGGGAGCTCGGGGGACTGGGCTTAAGGGGCGCATGCTCTTCCACACGCACTCATCACTCGCTAAAGAGTCATGNCAGACAACATGGAACATAGAAACATAGAAACATAGAAACATAGATGGTCACACAATCAATGCAATTATTAGCAGTAGTTAGTAGTGCAAAAAAATAAAACGTAGTGGCAGTTACGTAATTGCACGTTATCATAGCATTATTAATAATACTAGTAATAATAATATTGCACATAGTTATATATAGCAGCGAGTGTATTGTAATGATGGTAATTATATTGATATGTATATTGCACATAGTGTTGGTGTGGAAGTTCTCAGTTCCCTTTACTTAAGGCTGAAGAGCTAAAGTGAAGAGTTAAAGAGTATCAAAAGCAGTTTGCATTCTTTGCTCAATGTGGCAAAAAACCTCACACACACAATCAAGAAAAATGTGTAAAAGGATGGGTTTGTTTTGGTAAAATAAACTTCTTTACAGTTTCCCAAAACCTGAAGTCAAACCTCAGAAAGTGTCTTAATTAATGCAGTTTAAAGAAAATGTTGAATCGGAAATGTGCCTAAGCTAACCCAGTTACTGTTCGTATAAGATAAGATAGTACTTTATTGATCCCAATTTGGGAAATGTTTGCGTTGCAGCAGCATAAAAAAGACATGGCATTGTACAATACAAATTCAAAGACTAGAAATAAACAAGAAAGTACAAAATATATATATATATGTTGAATTTAACAAGGTATTATATATACATAAATATATGACAGATGGAATATGAAATATTGAACAGATTATATAAATGTACAATGTGGTTTTATTCCAAGAGAAACTATGGAGCAAATGACGATGATATGGGATCTAAGAAATGCTAGCTTATCTTCCCATTATTATAACTGTAGCATATAGAACATAAAAAAGATAGATAAAGTCAAGCTAACTACAAGTGACTATTGGTAAAATTGTTGAACTCAAAAGAGAATCTCCTTAAAACCACATTTTGTTGTCATGTTTTGACAGTAACATACTTCACTATATTTTTATTTTTATTTAACCTTTATTCAACCAGATAAAAAGCATTGAGATAAAATCTAATTTACAATGCTGACCAGGCCAAGAAGGCAGCAACGTTACACATAACACACAACACAGATATATAAAATACAGAGAACACAACTAAGTAAACAAAAGGAAACAAAAGACGAAAAAGCAGTCACTATATTGTGCACATTTAGGACAGTAAGAAAGGTGTACTACTTATTACTGCAAGAGCAGCTGGTGGTAAGGACTTCAGACAACTTCAATTTAAAACAGGCTATAGGGACAAGTGCCGTCAGTTTAAGGCGTGATTGAAGGTCATTCCAAGACCAAGGACCATAATGAAAAAGACTCTTTTTTCCAGCCTCAGTCCGCACAGCAGGTACCTGGAACCGTATCCAGGCACTGGATCTGAGGTTGTAAGAGTCACAAACTGGAGCAAATCTGGCACATATGTACAGTGGAAGCTTACCTAAAATGGCTTTATACATTAACAAAAACCAATGCCGTATCTTACGCATACTAAGTGAGGACCATCCAGTTGGGCAATGATGAGTCCTTTCGGGAGCATTTGATATATATCGCAGTGCAGCATGGTAGAGTGGGTCAAGTTTGGCCAAAACAGTGGGACAGGCAAATCTATAGATTGTATCACCATAGTCCAGCTGGGACAGGAATAAGCCAGAGACCAACCTTTTACGGGAAGAAGTTGAAAAACAACATTTAAGTATGTAAAGGAAGCCAAGAGTGAATTTCAATTTCTTTGTTAGAACTTCAATATGGTGTTTGAAGTTCAGATTTCTGTCCAACCAAAAGCCCAAATATTTGTATGTATCGACAAAATCAACGGAGACGCAATCAAGGGTGTCAATGGAAAGGCAAGAGGATGCTGACTTGGGAGCAAAGAGCATTGCTTTGGTTTTCTTACTGTTCAATAGCAGTTTCGAATCAATAAGCGCATGCTGTAGCGTGATAAAATGAGTTTTTAAATTGGAAATGGCCATATCCAGAGAAGGAGCACATGAGTATACAATAGTGTCATTAGCAAACATATGATAGGTAGAAAATTGCATCTGATTACAAATATTGTTTATATATATATATAATAAAAAGATGAAAGGGCCCCAAAATAGAGCCCTGTGGAACTCCCTATATACACTATGGTGTTTCTGTGTTTTACTGGAGAAAATATGTATTTCTTAAAAGGTCTACTGATAATTGTAACACTTCAAGAATTTGTACAAGAAGTATTCGCAGTAGTTCGAGTTAAAGTACAATGATTAATAGCAGCAATAGTTTACTTTACTGGGATCCTCGTAAACAGTAGTATGAGCATTGGCTATTCTACCTGGGGTCTTGTAATGCTTTAACAAATGTAGTTGTGGTAATTCATGCAGTAGCATCGGTTATTCAGTAATATTCTGGACAACATGTTATACTTATAAAGCAACAGTTGTAATACCAGTTGTAATTGATTTGGTATTGATTCCACAGTAGGAAATTCTTCCCTATCACTGAAACATCATAAGCTGTTCAATACTCTCCTACCACTCACACAGTCAGATCAAAATACGTCATCCACATTCAATAACAAACCATCAATAAACCCCACTGAGAAACCCCACAGAAGAAGCTAAAGCCCCCAGGAACAGAAGTTAACAGACTGTAGAATAAAATGTGTAATAAGGACGGAGGGAGCTGTGTTCATTAGCTGATGTGAGGAATGCTGCATGCTTTGTCTCAGCTGTCGGCTCCAAAGTGTGTGTCCGTCACCGCTCACCTGTGGCGTGTGAATGAAGGTGCAAACATGGCTGCCGTGACCTCGTCTCAGTGTCAGTCTGAGTTCATGTGCATGTCTGTCTGCCTTTCTGTAAACTTGTTTTTAGGTCAAAATGTGCAGTCTTACCTGTAGAGTAACACCTACTGTAATTCTATCGCAGTATTATACAGATTCAGGAAGTGCTGCTTCAAAATATGCAAAAAGGTGTTATGTTGAAACACTGTAAGGAGAGCACTAAGATACTACTGTGTCACTCAGAAATGAGTTCAAAGGGAACAAAAGGATAATCATGGATCAACTTATCTCTCTTTTCTTTCATTAATACAATCCGATAATGTGTGTTCCCATTACCAATACTGTTGTATGTAATTACTAGGGTTAAAACCTAGGAGAAAGTATTCAATGTATTGATTTCTACACCTTATCAGCACTATACAGAAGCAACACATCAATCTAAAGTATGCACAACATAGGATACTCTCATCAACTGAAAATGTATATATGAGAAACAAATCTGAAGCTTACTGAACTTCTGTCAATTATATTATTGTAACAGGTTAAAGTGCAACGTTACTATGTCTCGAACACTGTTGTTAACCAGTCCTGTTCACATTTACACGCTTTTGAAACTGAGAAGCTGCAGCAATTATTTATTTCCATGCTTAAGTAACACTGGATTTCACTTGTATGGCCTTTTCACACAGAAGTACTTTAACCATGTGACATTTTACTTCTCATTCACATATGTCACATGAAGGGTAGAGCAGCATGTGTGCAGGTTTCGTCATGTTTCACCTTTTTATATGTCGGTTTTAATGTGAGTAAATATTCAGCACTGATGATTACAAACCTTTGTGTTAACATCTGGTCATTTGAGGATCTTTAAAACCTTCACCGTTAACACGTGTTCTCTCAGGGAGATCGGTGCTTTGTCGTCTCTAATATTCATTGTACTACCTCCTATAGAAAATGGCAGATTTTGCCAGGTAGAAGCCGCCAGTCATCAGTCTGTGCATGCGTGCCTTCATGCATACTTTGTTTGACCCTTAGGCCTATTTATGTCAATCTATTATGTTGCCTCGTCAAGATATGCATCTGTGGTTGTGTTTGGCTCTTTCTTCTTCTTTCATCTGTTCTGTTTCTCACCGTCCCTCCCTGCAGACTCGGGTTACACTCCTCCATCAGATGGCGTTTTGCCTGGCTGAGCTGCACTTGTGGTCCACCAAGAGCTCACTCCAAGTCAAAGGTAGCACTTATCAGCATGTTCAATCTGTCTCCATCGTCCTCTCTCTGTGTCTTTCTCTCCTCTCTCCGTCTTGCTCTTGCTCTCTCTGTCATCACTCACTTTGTTTTCACACCTTCTCCCCACCTCGCCTATATCTACTCTATCAATCTAACTCTCAGTCAACACCAATTCTCACTCTGTCTTTTTCCACTTTCTCTTTGCTCTCTAGAAAAATTGTGTGTGTTGCATTAAACATGACATTCTTTATGTTGTTTTTACCACGTTAAACTGAAGTTGTATGTTGTTTAAAGTGTGATTGGTTAGCATAACCACAAGCAACTAGTTAGGGTTAGGGTTAGCCCCTAACCCTAACCCTAACAACGAGACCACACACGTGGACTAATGTTGACAAAGGCATGCAACCGTTCCACACCTGATGACAAGGAAACAATTGTTCAACTTGTGTAGCAATGAGTGCTACAGGGGAGCATGTTTGGATCAAGTATAAAACAGACTATCGTTAGCAAAACAAACCTAAACATTAAGATTACAAACTAATCTTTAATTCAAATCTGATTTATTGGCAAAGGTTTTTCTGTACTCTCGATGTACTCAAACAGTAATAAACATACAACAAAAAGCAAGGACATCATAGCTTAATGTAAGAAACATAAAATATATAGCGTTTTCTTAATGCATTCTTCTTTCTTGGCAAAACTAAGTGCCTACATTACCTATAATGCAACATAAAGGCCATAGATTTAGGTTTGTTATGCTACTAGCATCTAGCCAAAAGCAGAGATAATGTGAGCTACAGATTTATTTTTATTTGAAAACGTATTATTCAGATCCAACCAACACTACCTGGAAAGCCGTCAGAAGACTTCATAATATTACATTTGTAGGAATATACAGCAGTATTTGCCTCGGTCCTCTTGAAGAGTGGTGTGTATGATTCATATTTAAGATTATATTCAAGAAGAACAGCTACTTTAGCATGAGCAATTGTATTTCCTTTCAACACGAACTGAGATAAAGACAGGGGCGCCGTAAGGGGGTGAAATATTAGGACGATTCTAAGGGCCCGTGACTGACAGGGGCCCAAACTATTTTAGAACATTAAGAAAAAAATGTTTAAGCAACGAATGTGATTATCTTTTCATGGGGCCCAAAATCCCTGGCGACGCCCCTGGATAAAGACACAATATTTAAATAAAATATTGTGTGCAAATGGCTCAGTTATGGTAATTTAATGCCACACACCACATACATCACCATCGTGCATACACTGAGAAACAATACCAGCCAGCAATGTCCCTGTGAGGAAGAGTGGGTGTGGCGTAAGTTTGACATGTCTTCGGTTTTTCTGCGTCTTTCTGCCCGCCACCTATCAGTCCATCTCTTCTGTCAGACGGAAATGCTCTGTTTCTCCATTTTCTTGTTTTCTCCTTCCTTTCATTCTGTCTTGTCTTTCACAGTCTGCTGAGCCTTAGACCCAGATAGTGTCTCTCAGTGGCAGACTGTGTGTATGTGTGTGTGTGTATGTGTGTGTGTGTGTGTGTATGTGTGTGTGTTTATGTACACAAAGGTACATCCCAGGTGATGGTGAAATATCCTTATTTGTTTGTTTTCTCCCGCTGTGTGTGTCTTGTGCTATCTTGGAAATAAATGTGGAGGGATACATCTGCGCGGAGAGGCCTGGCCACTGAGGTGTGACGCTCCCTATCACCACCGTGCTTACATCATATACATCCACCTCAAAAACAATCATATGGATTCATAAAAGCAGCATCTGCTGTTCAATGCTAGGAAACAAATGTTTTCTATGTGTATTTGTATGTCCTACATGCGTTCATCACGTCTGTACAGCTGCACACAAAAGCAGGCATCTTTTACAACTATAAGGTTTTCTAATGTTGGACATTAAGCAGCCTCACAGAAAACCACAACTATAATGTAAAAGAAGGTTTTTGTTTGTTCTTACTTCCACAGGAAACTAGTTTAGCTTTAGGATTAGTTTAGACACTAGAATTTCAGTTAGAAGTTGGTTTACGAGCAGTTTGACATTTGACTTTCACTGTGGAAATTGAAATGGATAATTGAAAACATAAATATGATTTTGAGTACGTTGAAAGCCAATGAAAGTTGAATATTCAACTTCCAGAAGTGTGATATCAAAATTGTACGGCTCCAGTGCATATACACTTAGCATGGACTTCCTACACATGTAATAAATATCTTATTGACTCTAGCACATTCATTTATATCAAATAAAAAGTATCTGGACATTCAGAATGTCCAGATACTTTTTATTTGATATAAATGAATGTGCTAGAGTCAATAAGATATTTATTACATGTGTAGGAAGTCCATGCTAAGTGTATATGCACTNAG